AGAGCTCAAAGACAATAACCTCAGTCAAACAGCATTAGAATGTAAAGATACCTGACTAGGAACTCTAATTATGTGGGTGCAGTTTTCCTTTAAGTAAGAATGAGAGTTCATAATCAGCTAGGTTGTCTTACCTCTCTCTTATACTTCCTCTGTTTGCAGCTGGTTAGGGAGGTAACAAAAACAAGAAAACTTAGTATCAGTCCTTAATTGTAGGTGCACAACCTCTAAAGTAAATCAGCATAAGAGGGTGTGATTTCATTTCTGGGCAGTTCCAGCCATATGGTCAGTTTCTCAGTTCCCCTGATAACCTTAAGGAATTGATGATTATCAGTTCCCAAGTTAATGGCTAACAGAAATTTTCTGCTTGGTCATAGTTACCCCAGAGATGGTCATTTTCTAACTAAGGTCCCTTTCAGTTACATAAAATGAGTGATTTTTTTTTTAATTCTAATATTATGACTTAGCTAACAATTTGTAATACAACTTGTGGCATAAGTTTAAGGTGACTTAATATATTCCTAATACAGTGTGTAACATATTATGTATACGTGTATGCACATATATACAGGTACACGTAATATATACACACCCATATATACACACATGTATAAATATATAATATATATATATAAGTAAACTATATGTATATTTTTAGAGTATTAAATATTCTTTAGGCCAAAAGATATTTCATTTCAGTGACCTACTTATTCTCTTTTATATGGTTTCTATGAACATCCATTTTACAACGTTATGTGGATCTTAGAAAACTGAGTTGCTATAATCTTTACATCTCCCTTTTAAAAATTTTACTATCTCTAGCAAACACAGTATTCTCTAGATATGACTACTACAATTTTAAGCAAAGTAATGGCAACCTACTTTTTGACATTCTTTAGTTAAACTAGATTAAACTATAAATTAGTTTGTCATTCTTAGTACTTCCTAATTGGAATATTGATCAAAATAGAATGTGTAGCATCTAGAACCTGCCCATATCACTGCACTACCACCACAACCCTCTGTGTGACCTGTGTCCATGTAAA